AGCTCCTCCACCTTGGGCTTCAGCTCTGTCTCCTGTTCCCGGATCCCTGAAGCTGGACACTTTTCTTCACTCAGCTGCTGGCTGTTGAGACTGACAAGGCCTCAAGTAACAAGGTCAACAAGTAACAAGGCACAGTCCCAATATTACCAAACCACACAATAGGCCATTAATTCAAGTCAATTAAAAGTTCCAGGATCAGCAGAGCATGGCAGGCTGCTGAACAACGACACGCCTACATGCAGGGTTCAAGCATGCCATGAGCTAGAGACCATTCCCAAAGATGGTTCTTACATACAAGAAGCAGACCACATCCCTAAAGCAGCTACTCAGCTGCTTGTGGTAGATTCCACCATGGAGCTGATTGCCAGTCTCATCATGGGGAATAACTACCACCAGCTGCTCAGCCACTCAGCCAGACCCAGCCAAGTGGACACACAATTTTAACTACCACATTTGGAGCTTGGAGCATGGTTACGGTAGAAGTGTATGAGGTATGGATGGATCATCAGTTTGATATAATCCTTTCCCTAAGCACTGGGAGGTGTTGGCCAAGATGAATTCCAGGAAGGTAGTTAGTGTCTAAGTTTGGTGAGGACTGGGATCTAGGTGATTGGATCCTGGGAAGGGGCTGAGTCAAAAGGTAGCAATCATCTGGGAAAAGAAAGCAATCAGGTGAGTGATGTTTTATAGGACACTTACAGATGGAGCCTGAAGTCATAGAGAATCAAGGGATGAGAGTAGGGAGTCTAGTACATCTGAGAAGAGACTGAAGTAGGAGAGAGCCTAGGAATCTCCCAAGGACACAAATTTGAAATGCCATTAGTCTACCATTCTAGGCAGAGATACATCTAGGTCCTGGTGATAATGTGATGTAAGATAGATAGATTTTGGTGGGGAGTGATAAAGGGAGGTCTGACTAGAAGCTTAAAAATGAGCATTGAAGGAAATAGCCAAAGGTAAAGTATGAACACTCTGAAATCAACTTTCCCCCACAGTTTTGCAGAGAGCTCATTCTGTCTAAACATGATATCTATTTCCTGGCTAATTCTGGCACTCAGATGTTATGCAATGAAGGGCTATCCTTAAGACACCAGAGTTTCTTCCCTCCTCCCTCAAATGAAAACAAGCATACAATAAGAATAGTAAAACTTGGCATTTAGAGGCATTTTAGTCTGTGTATATCCTTAATTATGTGACCCAAAGATTATGTAAGCCATAAAAATGACTTACTCTTCTCTGAACATTTTTAAATGGTCAGTGCCATCTGAAGTTTAAAAATATCTCCTTTCCAATACATTTTATAGATGTCTCGTACATAAATCCTAGCATAATCACGATCCATCCATATTCAATAGTAAAAGCTCTAGGTATTATGAAGAACAAAATTAATGGCAGAAAATGTAAGTGGACTGAAAGTGGTGATGGCAGGAGCCAATGTGTTCGTGATGACAGTGGTCCTTGTTTGGGGGTTTGTGATGAGTTCCAGTATTGATGGTCTTCAACTAAGCAGAGGAAAAGTGACAGAGTGTCATGAAGGGCTCTCAGGACAAAACAGTCATTGTAGTCCTGTCTACCCCACCCTTTAAACAAGAGACAATAAAAATGAGTTTTCTCAAGAAAGGCAGGCTATATCCCCAACCTGACAAAACATCTGCTCACACATTCTCGTTAGTAGAGATGTGAGCAGCTGGAAGTCAGCAACTGTTTCTGAAGAATTTTTTTCCAACTGTGAGGCACTCTTTCTGAATTCTAACTGAATTCACCCCATCCCTTCTCAAAATATGCTCTCTCAGCTCAAAAGTTTGACAAGATCAAATACCCAGAGAATTTTAAACATTCTACTTGGGATAACACCTTCCAAGACGGCTAACAATTCTAGTTTGTTTAGACTTTGCGCTCCCTAAACCCAACACACACACTAGAAGCCAGGAAAATTCATCTTTCTCCTTAAGCCACCCCTCCTTGCCATCCAAATGCCAAGTTGACTTAGAGTCAACATCTATGTTTAGGATCGTTACCTTCTTCCTTAATCCCATAACAGCTGCCTCACAGTGGTTAGGCTAAATCCATTTAGCTTATGTCTGACTGTGGATCTTCTGGGGTGGAAAATTTTTTTAAAATAATTTGCATCCTTTAGAACAACTGGTAATAATGAGAAAGACTAATGGGCATTCATAAGCTGTTAGAAGACACAGTTCCTAGTCTATGCATTATTCATTTATGCAAACTGTTGTAAAGTTACCACATTCTCTGTGCAACAGGGCTGGAAAAGTCCCTGAACTCAAGCTTACATTGGTATGCACATTTGTGAGGCTTGGTTCTGTTTAACATTTTCATCAGTGACCTGCTTAAAGGAGCAGAGAGCAAGCTCATTAAGTTCCTAGATGGAAGGGATCGCCAGAACATTAGAGAACAGGATTAGAATTTCCCCGGTCCATGCCATATTAGCAAAAGTGTCAGAGTCAAATATGTTCATCAGGAAAAGGCAGAGAAAAATCAGGTTCCCCAAATGCAAGCTGAGTAGGAGCAAGATATTTAGGAAAAGAACTGAAAGGAATATAGATGAAAAAAAAAAAAAAAAACATTCTCAGCAGGAAATAAAGTTGTCTGGTAGCACCATTCACATTTCATTGGGACCTCTGTCTCCCCTTAAGATGGAATCAAACTGCGGAATCCATGGATTCTGGAGACATAAAGCCCTTCCCAAAATTTCTAAGAATTCCAGGGAGCTTTTCACTCTCATGGGTTTTTCTAGCTTCAGATTCCTGGTTTCCACTTAAGTAGCCTGGCTTATGGTTCATTTCACTGTCCTAATTTAGCTGCCCTGTAATAAACCATAATGACCCAGATATAAAAACCATTTCACTCTCATGAGCAAATCATAGCCTCCTGCAGAAGCCCCTGGCTATCTCTTAGTTGTCTTGGCTCTCATTTCATCCTTAATTCAACTTTCCCCAAGCAGTTTAACAAGGCATTTTTCTAAATATAGGTAGTTCTTTCCATAAGAGGAACTCCCAAGCCAGCTATTTGGATGATAACATTTACACCTGTGTTACCTAACAAGGCGCGCGTGACAAAGCCATGAGTCAATACTGCTATAGCCACCACTCAGCAAATGTTTTCAGTAAAGGGCAGAGAGTTGATATTTTTGGTCCCAATCACAGCTAGTTGGCTCTGATGCCATGGCATGACAGCACCACACACACAGTTAGTACACACTTGGGACTTGCTGGATTTGGTTGTAGAAGGCCATAGTTTGTTAACTTCTGCCAAACTCCAGATTATTATTATTATTATTATTTAATTTATTATTTCAATATTATTATTTTGGAGGAGACTTAGGAATCATCTTGTCCAACCTGCTCATTTTAGAGATAAAGAAACCAGAACCCAGGAAGTAGAGTAGTGTTAATACAAGTTCACAAGACTATTGTTGTTGTTCTTAGCTATTGGTAAGTTGGCCCCTGACTCATGGTGATTCCAGTGTACAATAGAATGAAAAGCTATTTGGTCCTGTTCCATCCCCATGATAGGTTGTGGACTGGACTATTGTGATCCATAGGGATTTCACTGGCCAATCTTCAGAAAGAAATCACCAAGTGTTTCTTCCTAGTCCATCTTAGTCTGGAAGCTCCACAGAAACCTGTTCCGCGATATGCAAGGCTCCACTGGCAGAAAGGTGGTAGCTGAGCATGAGTTGCATTGGCCAGGAATAGAACCTGTGTCTCCCGCATCAAAGGGAGAATTCTATTACTGCACCACCACTGCTACAAAATAGTAACCCCAGATAAAATTTCAAACTGGACACAGGTATCCCAACTCTTAGGCCAGTGCCCCCTCAACTGCACCATCACCAGGCTGTTTCCAAAGGGTTCTGGGATTGCCTGCTTAATTGGCAGAGCCCCCTCCAGAATTTTTTCCACTGTACATTTTGGTGAAATGCACGAACCATATTATATGTAATGTGCAGTGGTATCTTTTTGCAAGATCCCTAAGAGGATCTCAGGTGAGTATGGAATTAAAGACTTACGTGAGACTGTCTCTACCACCAAGGAGCAAACTTTGAGAAAACTGAAATAGAGTGCAGAATAGACTAGAGAGAAAAACTATGCACAAATTTCAAGGGACCTAGTTTTATTTAGCTTAAAGTAAGTTCAAAATGACATAAAAATCTTCATGCACCAAGAATAATGTTTTAAAGAGGGACAGTTATTCCTCATCTCCTAGTAGCATGGAAGGAGAGAAGAACCTGCCAGAAGTTACAAGAACCATGCTGTAAGAATCACAGACCAGTGGAAGTTAATAATCAGATCTTGGAGTTTCATCTTGCTGGGTGGGCTAGGAGGGAGGAAAATCGACTAAGTTGGTGGCTCTCAAAGTCCTTTCTCCCTCTTTAATTTCCCTGAAAGCTACAGAAAAGAGTCTTTTTCTGAGCCAACGGCGACACATTGAATCAATGCACTTAATGAGAACAGGACGGTTTCTTTAAGAGGGTTGTGAAGTGCAGAACACAAAGTAGATACTTGCGTGGGGAGAGATGATTGCCCAGATTTCAAAGCGTCTTTCCAAATTATGTGCTCTCAGATTGGCATGTAATCTGAGGGTAACTCAGAAAACTCACAAATCTGGGGTAGAAGCTTGTAGTCCCTTCTGAATGTTCTTCATGCCTCTGTCTCAGGAGAGGCCAGGTGTTCTTAATATGGAAGGTTTGTTGATTTGTAATTTAAAGACTCAGTAGCTTGGGCCTATTTCTCCTTGAAAGTCAAGGCCAAGCATTTATGAGTACTCTTTACTACCTTGGATAAAGATAAATCATAGTGTACATCTTGTTACTAATTAAAAATGGGGCAATCTGTTCAAATATCAGTTCTGGGCAACACATTTCATGAAATCATCCCAAAAGATTATTTGTCTCAAGCCACAGCTTTTCCAAAGTCCATTTGTCCAAATGACAAACTCCTGGTAATTATTATTTTTCCTTGTTCTAATTTTTTTTCCAGATGATCCAGGAACCTGCACATCATGCACTATGGGGTATTACATGTAAGTTTGGACTTCTTTTTCATGGCACTAACTTTCCTGCAGCTTGAGCGTTACTGACTTAATCCTAAATCCAGTGATTAAAGCAAAGAGGCCCTGCAGCCTGAAGCAACTCTATCCTGTCAGGCTATTAATGAGCAATTCTTGGATTTAGCAATAAGAGCCCAGCTGGTTTCTTGCCTCGAAAGGAGGCCTTCTCTTTCTTGATCCTGGAAGTCACCCAGGCTGACAGTGATGTCTAGGAATCATGCCATGGGTTCCCAAGATTCAGACCTTGCTATTTCTGGACAGACTTTAATAATATATCTGACCCCAAGCAAGCTGTTTCCAAATGTCTGCATGGAGACCTTGTCCTTTGCAGAAGTCTGATGCTTTAGGCTGAAGGTACACATAGCTCTTACTCATTCTGTGGGCAATGAGGGACCCAGGCCACTATCTAATAAATATCTACAAAATCATAGATACTAGGTTTCAATGTCACATGCCTTTCCTATTCTAGCCTCCCTTCCATTATGCATTGGTGCTATCCTGGAAGAAAAACTCAGAAAAGAAGGAAGATGAAAGGAAAGGAAGGCTCTGGATATAGCCCAGGTTGCATGATTCCTCCCTGTTATGCTATCTAGTGGACAGATCTGTGACACAGGAACTCTCATGTCCATTCCCTCTCTTCACCTTTCCATCAAGATGGTCAGGGGCACAGGATTGATATTGGTCTTCAAAGGAGAAAACTCAGAGAAGCAATGGGTTGCCCTCACATTGCACCACAGATTATGTCAGATCTGGGTACCCTAGCATTACCCTAGCATTCATAGACCTATGTTATCTGTCACCCACACCACCTTTCACTTTCATCAGTTTCTAGGGACTTGAAATGTGGTAGCTGATGTTAAAATATTAAAGAAGATGGGGAGGATGGGAAGAAAAGAGATATCTCAACAAGCTGAAACACATTAAAAATGATCAATTAATTTATCATTACTTAACCTTATGGTTTTGATTCAACGTTTCCAAATAGCTGGTTATTCGCCACAGTGACTGCATCTCTATATCACTACACTCCTGACTTGTTGATTTAAATTATTCATCCATTTCAGCTGGAGAGGAGGGGTGGAAAAGAGGTTCCCAGGGTTAATTAGTGTGAGGTAGACCAGAGGACATTTAATGAATGAACGGTTCAAACCCACCAGCCACTCCATGGAAGAAAGATGAGGCAGTCTGCTTCTGTAAAGATACACAGCCTTGGAAACCCTATGGGGCAGTTCTACTCAGTCCTAAAGGGTCACTATGAGTTGGATTTGATGAAATGAAAGTGCGTTTTGGTGGGTTATGCTTGCCACAGGATCCTTAGCAGAGATGAACAACAGAAATGCAGGTGTTCTTTGGTGAGATCCCATGGTTGGGGGCACAAAATATTTCTTCAAGAACCAGGAGAGGAGAACGTAGGCTCAAATAAAGATATGATAATTTTGCAGAAGTGGACAAAGGATTCTTCGCTTTGGTCCTCTTACAATTCTGCCTGCCTCTACCCGACTGCTTTCTTCATTGTGATCTGCCACACTTTGAAGCCGGCTTGATCGTCCTCTCAGGATCACCACTCCTACACTAATGATTGTGTTTCATAGAACTTCTTGAAAAACAAATTCACTGGAAGAAAGTGAAAGGCAAAACATGAGATAGTTTTTAAAGAAACACACATTTGTTACCTTTTAAAATATTTAATAATCCTGAATGCAGCTAATAAAATGCTGTAGAACAGAAGTTCTTAAGAAAGTAATGCAAGGATTTCCTGATGTCTTGTTGGTGCTATGAAATTCATCAAAGGGAAAATTGTCTATTTCCCCTTCAAATGAGCCTACAATTCAGTCAAGTCTGAATTACAACATTTTACTATATAATAAAAGATAAAACCCAAGCCAAATCCACTGCCATCGAGTCAATTCTGACTCAAAGTGACCCCATCAGGGTCCAAGGCTGTAAATCTTTACAAAAGCACTTTCTTCCATGAAGTGGCTGGTGGGTTCTGACCTCTGACTTTTGGTTATGGCCCAATGCCTTAACTATAGCACCACCAGAGCGCCTTATAATGAGATAATACATGTAAAGTGTATACATAAAAGCTGAGGTATTTTGCTGTTATTATTAATCTGGTTAGAGACATTTTGATAAGCAACTTGAATTTAACACTGAACTGTTTCATCTCTTGTAAGTGCCAGGTACAGTATGGCAAAAGCACACAAGCTATCCTTTCAGATAGACTGTAGTTAGGATCCCAGCCCCACCTTAAACTAGCTGTGTGTGTGACTTTGAGCACTTGACCTTCAACCTCATTCAGTTTCCTTACGTAGAAATTAAAGATTAGTAAAATCTGCCACCTAGGGAGAGGAGGACTTGTGGAGGTTTAAATGAACTAATACTTGACACATTGGTTCAACACATTAGTATTGAACTAATACTTGCCTGAGAAATGGTGTTCAGAAGTACAGAGGAGGTGGTTAATGACTTGGTTTCTTCCCTTGAAATCTGCATATCTACCGCTATCAAAAAAACATGCATATGCATATATGTATGTATGTATGTATGGAGACAAGCTTTCATGATTAAGAAAATTATATCACCATGTCTCATAGAAGAAACTATGACTTCTTCCCATAGGTTTAAACACCATTGTTATAGAACCTGTCCTGAAAAAACCTACAGTGAAGAATTTGAATGCAAAGAATGTGATCCCAACTGTGGCAACTGTGACCAAAATGAGTGCTACTGGTGTGAAGAGGGCTTCTTCCTCCTGGGTAAGCCAGAAAACAGAATCATGCCAAGTGTGAGTGACCAAGGCTTCCAGACATGAGCACACAATCAGCCTAACAGGCTTCCATTGATTGGTTTCAGAGTCTTCATGTGTGTTGGTGCTACTTGTCCAAAAAGAAATTTTAATTTGATTTGAAAATAACTATTAGCCAAGAGTTCATTCTGCTTTTATTCCTAAAGTATAATTTATATTTTACTAACTAACTTCAAGTACCTCCAAGCTGATGGAAACAAGGGTGAGTATGGGAAGAAAGAGAATAAAAGACAGGCATCTGAAGATAAATGCTTTGGATTTGAAGTCACCTGGAACATCCATGATCCTTCCCTTGAGACTTAACCCTTCTTACATGTCCCAATGCAGCGAAGAGTAGCGAGATCCCTTGTCTTGTGCCTCAGTCAGCACAATGACTTTGATGGAAATGGATGGTTAGGAAAGAAAATATGCTGTGATTCTTCCAAATGAAGAGCTAATAGACTATTACATTTGATTTTTAGTGAGAGAATGGCAGAGTCAATGATGATCTTCAATGGTTTTCTTTATCGAGGTTCTTTTGATTCATAATTTTTCAAGGCTTCAAGCTCTTTCTTCTTAACCCTTTGAGCTGATGATGACCAAAGAGAACTTAGATAAGATATGGGATATATTCAACCACACTCTTTGGTTAAAATAAGCTGATGGACTCTTGGTTTCTTTACAAATAAACACAAAGAAAAATGTTCCTAGGACTCCCTTCTGCTTCTTTAGAACTTGGCTTTACACAGAACTCCAAGGCAAGCTGGCCAGAGTGCTGCCTTAATGCTTCCTCTCTGTTTCTGTGTAGGCGGCCATTGTGTGACAAAATGTGGCCCTGGCTTCTATGGTGACCCAGAAATGGGAGAATGTGAACCCTGCCACCGAGCCTGCAAAACCTGCACGGGCCTTGGCTATGACGAGTGCAGCAGCTGCCAAGAAGGATGGCATCTACTGGATGGGAAATGTGTCAGTCCTGCCCAGACCCAAGTGGATGGCCAATTCTGGAACGGTATGTGACTTCCTCAATCTACGTCCGTAGTGATACAGCCTCAAAAACACAAGGAGGGGTCGCTATGAGTCAGATCCAACTCTAGGGCAGTGTGTTTGGTTTTGTTTTGGTTTGATGTGACTTCTGAGAGAGATCCTAAGACCTAACTTCCTACTCTGCCTCCCTCCTTCTTTAACCCTTACTTTTGAGATATTAGAGAAATGAAGGCTGGACAGTGAAACAGCTTGGAGGAGAATCAAGTTCAGGCCCCTCCTGGGGTCTTGCTGTCTGAGAGGATAGGAGGCTGTGGTCGGCATTTGGCCAGCAGGGGGAGACTGAAGAGCACTTACTAATCATCTGGCCACTTGAGTTTCTACCTGGGAGAATCCAACTAATAACCAACCAGTTGTCATGGAGTCGATTCTGACTCATGGCAACCCCATGTGCAGAGCAGAACTGCTCCACAGGGTTTTCATAGCTGTGACCTTTCAGAACCAGATCATCAGGCCTCTCTTCCAAGGTGCCTCTCAATGAGTTCAAACCATCAACCTTCCCAGTGGGAATAAGCACTTAACCATTGCATCACCTAAGGACTGGAAAATATATATATATATATATATATATATATACATATATATAAAGAGAGCCACGAAGGGAAATGGTCCAAACTACCATTTCCCACAATAGCTGCTATCACATTAGCATATTTTTTTTATTATGATAAAGTAATCTACTCAATAGGGTAGGTTTTTCCAGGTAGACAAGGATGAACTTCTCTAAGTATTAGAATTTATCCTAAAATGGGTGACCTTTATGATTAATTATGAGAACTTGGCACCATTCAAGCTTGCCATGTAAGAGTTACTCTCTCTAGTTGCAGATGGGGGTACGGAAGGATTGAGGGGTGGGGAGGAAATCTTGAGGCCTTGACTTTCACAGTAAAGGCCTACATGCATTTCACTCTTATCTGAACTCTTAGACTAGGCCTCCTCACATGTCAGCCTGGGTCATAGGCTTCCTTGCATGGAAATTACAAATATTTAGTGACCTCTCCATGTCTGAGATGGTTCAAAAAAATTCTCTTGCTGGAAAAAATCTGATTCACATTCTAGGCAGACACATTTGTGGAAACAAGAGATGCTTTCTGTTTCATTTCTAGGCAAGGGTTTGTTAAAAGGGTCATGTCCATGCAGAGGCAATGACGGTTGAAGAGGTCCACACAGGATGAGAAGGTGATAGGTCTGGAGCAGGAGAAAAGTACTGCCAGGTGTGAGAGGAAGGGTGTCCATGGTCACTGTCTACCATGGCAATGATGCTTATGTGACTAAAGAAAGAGTAGCTCAGAGGACATCACAAACCCAGAGCCAAAGCCTAAGAAGAACACAGGGCCCATTTTAGAATCATGCATGGCTAGAAGGAAAAATATTCAATCCAGATTGGGATATCTTCCGTGAAGTATAGCTGAACCGAAATGCTGAAAAAGAGCTTGTCTGGCATTCAAGCATTTAAGAGGCAGCACAAGCCAAGAGGAAAACGGTCTGGTGCTGTGTTTGTAGCTGAGAACATCTGTATTTTATCTGGCGTACCAGATGATGAAAAGGTCCAGGGAGCCAAGAGTCAGAGCAGACTTGATTCCCCACGTGATTACTCGTCCCGTCAACTGGACTACGCATTTTGCAAACTGAAATCAGGCTTTGAGTTTCTCCTGTGTTGAAGCACAGTACCACACCCTATCCCTTGACATTTTCTACTATCTAGATGTAATGTTTTTAAAAAGATAAAGGAACGAGACCTTTTGGAGGTTTCTGCATCCAATAAGGGCAACGAGAAGCAGATGAGAAGCTTTCTTGTAGTTGGACAAACACAATAAAATCAACAACATGGATGCACTGTTCCATGTCTGTGATCAGACCATCAACAGAGAGGAAAAAAATGTCTATTCACTGGGCAAGGTAAGGCCATCACTCAGCTTCCCCAGCATAGTCTGGGGTGCCATGGATAATAAATGGGAAATGCATTCCACAAGCCCTGAGAGTATTTGAGCTAATGCCTACACCTTTTAATAGGATGGCAGATGGTTCCAGAGCACAAGCATTAATGCAAAAACCAAATAAACTCACTGCCATTGAGTCAGATCTGACTCATAGCAACCCCTCCTTGGGTTTCCGAGGTGGTATCACTATGGAAGTAGATTGTTCAATCTTCCTTCTGAGGAGTGGCTGGTGGATTTGAAACTCCAGCCTTCTGGTTAACAGTCAAGTGCCTTAATCACTATGCCACCAGAGCTTCCCAAGCACTAATTAGCCACAACTTTATGATGATGAGAAGCAGATTGCAGTCATCCTGGGTGAATTTAGAGGAAGCTCAGATGAGAACTTTGAACAGGTTCATTCCGGTTCAACCCCCAGCTGAGAATTTACATTTCCACTCCAGATACACTGAATCAGAATTTACATTTTAACAAGATCCTCAGGTGAGTCTTATAGATCCCCAGGTGTCTGTTATATCTATATCTTGTCAAACCACAATAACCAGTTCAGAGCCCTGGTCCAGACAAATTACACAGTGATTCTGAGAGAATGTAGCTGCCTCAGTGGTACCAGCAAAGTTGTTTGCTTTTTTTCCCCCTTTTTTTAAAACACAGATTCAGTTATGAAAGGTAAGGGGGGAAATGAACTTCAGTCCATTCCTTCACCTACAGTGCTCCCCAGTGGAAACAGCAAGATCATGTTTGTATTCAAAAACTATGGCCTACCCCATGAGTGTGCCAGCATGCGCTGGGAAGATACCTTTGAAACAAGAACCCATAAAAGTGTTCACTGAACTCTTTTAATAAGGTGCCTAACCAGGATTAGAATGACAATGACAAGAAGGCCATCATTCTCCAGCAACTACCAGCAGAATGGGAATAGCTCCTACCCTAGACCAAGGACAGAGATTTCTCCACACTTTGGATCATGCCTGGCAAACTCACCAGCCAAGAATAATTAATCAGCAAAGATGGATGCTCAACTCTCTGTCTCCCCAATACCAAAATGTCATTGCATACAGAGTTCTTCTTGTCCAGTCGTTAATATATCGTGAAGAATACTTTGTTCACTCTTCCTAAATGACAGAAATAGAACCAATATTAAGCAGGCAGCTAGTGGCTTCAGCAGTGACTCAGACTTCCCACAAAGCCACCACTGGTGGAAATATCAGATGCAGAAAATGGTGGCTTCAGTTGGTTTCCAATAACCTTTGTTAGGAATCAAGATGGTTTACTTTTCTACTATTAAATCATTTGGGTTTCTTCAGTGGTTTTCCCTCTCATAGTACTGGAAATTCCAGATGTAACTCCTGCACATTCTGCTCACCCACCTACTATTTCCATCAATGATAACAACCATATTTGTTTCAGGCTTTAATTTAATATTCTGATAGTCTAATCCATAAAGCACAAGCATGGTGAATTATCTTTTTATCTTTGACCACATCCGAACAATTTATCACTAGCCTGCCTTTTGATCTTACAATGCCTGCGCTGTGGAAAGACTGGAATCCCAGAGTGAGTTGTAAACATGGAAAGCCATGAACATGTGAAAGAGAATCTCAAGAAGGGGGATATATGTTTACTAACTGTAACTGAACACGTGAGAACTTTAAAGATGTCACAAACATATGATTTTTAAAAGAGCTTTGTAGAGATGTATACTGTTGCTTCACTTAGAAATGAGGAATCATTTTTTGGTTGCTTAACCAATCAGAGTTCAGAGTGCAAAAGGAGCCTGTCACTGGGTAAATAAGGCAGACTTTTGAAACCTTCGGCCCAGTGATATGATCGAACCCTTGTGTCAGCTTGTGTTAATTGCTAAATATTTAGGAATTTTGTAAGTGGTTTGTAAAACCATGGGCATCTTGAAATCAGCCATAGTGGGAATTTTTGCACCATGGCAATCGGCAAACACAACAAATCAAGTTTTTAGTTTCCCCCTACCCCCAAACTGGTTTACCAGAACACTACTTGCTTTGACCTCAAACAAACTAAAGTTCAAATTAATTACTGAAATATTACCCTAGTGGATGTGGGTTTTAGTTAGGTGTACCTGTGTTCAAATGCTGGCTCTGTTATTTACTGGCTTTTCTGAAGGTCAGTTTCGTCATCTGTAAAATAAAAATATGAAATTACATCACATGAGCTCATTGTGAGAATGAAATAAGAGAAGACATATAAAGCTAGCAGCACGTAATACACACACAGTAAAAGTTAGTCAATTCCCAAACCTTTAGCCTGATCTAGTCTGAACACAAAACATTAGTCCATTTTCTCAGCAGCCTTCTTTAACTCATAAAAGAAATCTATTATTGAAGCCTGGAGAGTAATAGAAGTCTGGGGAAAATAGCCCCAAAAAGAAGACAGGGAATAATGGTCAGATGGGATACCTATAATCAGGCAGAGGCCTGACTTGATCAAGAATATATATCCCCAAATATGTTCATAGTAGTTTTATTTATAATACCAGCAAAAAAGGAAAGGCAACTGAAAAACATTAAAACAAAAAAAAGAAAAAAATTTCTGGTTCATATAAGTAAATAAGCAAACCACTAAAAATGGTGTCATTAAAAACTTTAATGACAACATAAAATGCCTATAAGATATATAGTGTATCTAAGTATATATAGTGTAACTGTAAAAATGTAGGGTCATTGTTATATGCAGAAGACGTTAATGATTACATACATGTACATACATGTAATTATATTCACACATTCAACAAAAAGATGGGAAATCTACACACCAAAGTATGCATAACTGGGTGGTGGGGTAATGGATGATGTTTATCTTCTTCTTTATCCTTTTTGCATGAAAAAAGAAAATAAAACACTTTATTTCTTTTAATAAAAAAGAACCTGTGTCCCCTGCAACCCCAGCTTTGGTGAAGAACTGGCTGCAAGAGCGACGAAGGTGGAAAATTCAAATCAAAAGAGGTAATAGGGAAATAGAAAGAAGACAATCACAACACATCATGAGAGAGTCTGCA